TATATAAACAAGAGTTCTCACGTTCTTGTAAATGTAAGAAGTATTTATTATATAAAATACTGCTGATTTGAAGGCGCTATCCTGCAAAAGTAATGATCATCTTATCGTGAGGTTATCTTGAGAGGATTTCGGGGCTTAGCGTCCTCGCGGCCCGGTTCTCGACCAGGCCTCTTTTTTTTTGTTACACATCCCCCCTCAGGAAGCAGCCCGTAGCATCTGTCTAACTCCCAGGTACCTATTTACTGCTAGGTAACAGGGGCATCCGGGGTGAAAGAAACATTTTGCCCATTTGTTTCCTCCTCTACCGGGGATCGAACCCGGAACCTCACGACTACGAATCCGAAGCGCTGTCCACCCAGCTGTCAGGCATCATCGTCCAAGCTAAACTATAGAAATTACGTGTTCTATATGACAGAGCCTCGCTGCTTGTATATTGTCAGGCGCCTTGAAAGACAAGGCACTACGGGCTCACCATAGCCCGTGCTACTTAGAACTTTTTGTTCCAGGTAACGAATCTTTAACAACAACAACAACCTTGAAAGAGATGTAGTTGTTGTCTTGCCAATATACTGAGATCGTTCGGTTTGACAGTCTTTTTCAAGGCGTTTCGTGTTGGAAGAGCCAACAATGAGTTAGTTTGTGGTATTCTTGCTCTCGTAGTTAATGTTAAACTGTATCTTATGGTTTGTGGGAGGCCATGTACCTCTCGCTGATGTCTTTTACGGCTCTTTACTCCATCTTGTGAGCTGATGTAAACGAATTTCTGTAGAAAGGTTTATGCCTGACAAAGCACAAACAACAAGGTTTATGCCTGACAAAGCACAAACATCAAGGTTTATGCCTGACAAAGCACAAACAACAAGGTTTATGCCTGACAAAGCACAAACAACAAGGTTTATGCCTGACAATGCACAAACATCAAGGTTTATGCCTGACAAAGCACAAACAACAAGGTTTATGCCTGACAAAGCACAAACATCAAGGTTTATGCCTGACAAAGCACAAACAACAAGGTTTATGCCTGACAAAGCACAAACATCAAGGTTTATGCCTGACAAAGCACAAACAACAAGGTTTATGCCTGACAAAGCACAAACAACAAGGTTTATGCCTGACAAAGCACAAACAACAAGGTTTATGCCTGACAAAGCACAAACATCAAGGTTTATGCCTGACAAAGCACAAACAACAAGGTTTATGCCTGACAAAGCACAAACATCAAGGTTTATGCCTGACAAAGCACAAACAACAAGGTTTATGCCTGACAAAGCACAAACAACAAGGTTTATGCCTGACAAAGCACAAACAACAAGGTTTATGCCTGACAAAGCACAAACATCAAGGTTTATGCCTGACAAAGCACAAACAACAAGGTTTATGCCTGACAAAGCACAAACAACAAGGTTTATGCCTGACAAAGCACAAACAACAAGGTTTATGCCTGACAAAGCACAAACATCAAGGTTTATGCCTGACAAAGCACAAACAACAAGGTTTATGCCTGACAAAGCACAAACAACAAGGTTTATGCCTGACAAAGCACAAACATCAAGGTTTATACCTGACAAAGCACAAACAACAAGGTTTATGCCTGACAAAGCACAAACAACAAGGTTTATGCCTGACAAAGCACAAACATCAAGGTTTATGCCTGACAAAGCACAAACAACAAGGTTTATGCCTGACAAAGCACAAACAACAAGGTTTATGCCTGACAAAGCACAAACAACAAGGTTTATGCCTGACAAAGCACAAACATCAAGGTTTATGCCTGACAAAGCACAAACAACAAGGTTTATGCCTGACAAAGCACAAACAACAAGGTTTATGCCTGACAAAGCACAAACATCAAGGTTTATACCTGACAAAGCACAAACAACAAGGTTTATGCCTGACAATGCACAAACAACAAGGTTTATGCCTGACAAAGCACAAACATCAAGGTTTATACCTGACAAAGCACAAACAACAAGGTTTATGCCTGACAATGCACAAACATCAAGGTTTATGCCTGACAAAGCACAAACATCAAGGTTTATGCCTGACAAAGCACAATCATCAAGGCTGTGTCAAAGATAACAACGTTCCAATACAAGCAGACCATCACAGAGAGAGGTGGAACAAGACACAGTAGCTGGGATAGGCCATGATAGATTGTGTGTCTATACAGAAGCGGTCGACCCTAGGACACCAAGCTGACCTATCGACACCGAGGGGTCATTAGTAGAGGATAAGGTAATATTACGTTTTTCGTTCACAAAAGCAACGTTCGTCTGACGCCCGACGTCAAAAACTGCGGCACATTAAACGAGGATAATTTCGACAGGTGCATGGCGTTATTACCTGCATATCAAGTGCTTGAGGTTCAACCAGCAACCTGGACCGTTTAGTGTAGATGTATCAAAGAGGAAGGTCATGGAACAAGGCATAGTTATACGGCTGCAGGCCGCTGGAATGATTGAGGAGGATTACATTTGCAAGTCAAGTGGTTGGTGGAGGCTTTGACTGCGGGCTATCACAGAGGAAACAGCCAAATGGCAGCAGACCGTTTTCACTACGAGGTATCACGGAATATTATAGATCTATGTTCCTGCTAACTACTCTAACTCCCTTGGCAGGCAAGCCCCCCTAAGCCCTGCTGCCCCTGTTCACCTAGCAGTAAATAGGTACCTGGGAGTTAGACAGCTGCTAGGGGCTGCTTCCTGGGGATGTGTAACAAAAAGGAGGCCTGGTCGAGGACCGGGCCGCGGGGACGCTAAGCCCCGAAATCATCTCAAGATAACCTCAAGGCACAGCACTCAGCTTTCATTAGACTGGTTTGAGAATATCGGTATATAATCTAGATTCCTAAATTACCATAAATTGAAGCTATTTACAAATTATAGATTCTTGCAGACGTAATATAAACGATTTACGTTAATTAAATAACGTAAAATATATTGGGCAGAATGTCTTCCCCGCTGGGACACGCACTTATATGTAGGCACAACTTGCGCCATGTGTGTGTGTTCTGTCCCTTAGTAACATGTTCTGCACCTCTGTAACATGTTCTGCACCTCTGTAACGTGTTCTGCACCTCTGTAACGTGTTCTGTACCTCTGTAACGTGTTCTGTACTTCAGTAACATGTTCTGTACCTCTGTAACATGTTCTGCACCTCTGTAACGTGTTCTGTACTTCAGTAACATGTTCTGTACCTCTGTAACATGTTCTGTACCTCTGTAACGTGTTCTGTACCTCTGTAACGTGTTCTGCACCCCTGTAACGTGTTCTGTACCTCTGTAACGTGTTCTGCACCTCTGTAACGTGTTCTGTACCTCTGTAACGTGTTCTGCACCTCTGTAACGTGTTCTGTACCTCTGTAACGTGTTCTGCATTTCTGTAACGTGTTCTGTACCTCTGTAACGTGTTCTGCACCTCTGTAACGTGTTCTGTACCTCTGTAACGTGTTCTGCACCTCTGTAACGTGTTCTGTACCTCTGTAACGTGTTCTGTACCTCTGTAACGTGTTCTGTACCTCTGTAACATGTTCTGTACCTCTGTAACGTGTTCTGTACCTCTGTAACGTGTTCTGCACCTCTGTAACGTGTTCTGTACCTCTGTAACGTGTTCTGCACCTCTGTAACATGTTCTGTACCTCTGTAACGTGTTCTGTACCTCTGTAACGTGTTCTGTCCCTTAGTAACATGTTCTGTACCTCTGTAACGTGTTCTGCACCTCTGTAACGTGTTCTGTACCTCTGTAACGTGTTCTGTACCTCTGTAACGTGTTCTGCACCTCTGTAACGTGTTCTGTACCTCTGTAACGTGTTCTGCACCTCTGTAACGTGTTCTGTACCTCTGTAACGTGTTCTGTACTTCAGTAACATGATCTGCACCTCTGTAACGTGTTCTGTACTTCAGTAACATGTTCTGCACCTCTGTAACGTGTTGTGCACCTCTGTAACGTGTTCTGTACCTCTGTAACATGTTCTGCACCTCTGTAACATGTTCTGCACCTCTGTAACGTGTTCTGTACCTCTGTAACATGTTCTGCACCTCTGTAACGTGTTCTGTACCTCTGTAACATGTTCTGCACCTCTGTAACGTGTTCTGTACTTCAGTAACATGTTCTGTGCTTCTGTAACGTGTTCTGTACTTCAGTAACATGTTCTGCACCTCTGTAACGTGTTCTGTACTTCAGTAATATGTTCTGCACCTCTGTAACGTGTTCTGTACTTCAGTAACATGTTCTGCACCTCTGTAACGTGTTCTGTACTTCAGTAACATGTTCTGCACCTCTGTAACGTGTTCTGTACTTCAGTAACAGATATGTTCCTATGTATCACCGTTACTGTCCCCCCTGTATCACTGATTGCCTACCAATGTATCGTGGATAGTCTTTACATGTATTTCTAAATATTTCTCACGTGTCAGACAGTTATCCCATAGGTTTAAACAGGACTTCTTATGTATCCCATAGGACCTCTTATGTGTCGCATTGGACCTCTTATGTGTCCCATAGGACCTCTTATGTGTCCCATAGGACCTCTTATGTGTCCCATAGGACCTCTTATGTGTCCCATAGGACCTCTTATGTGTCCCATAGGACCTCTTATGTGTCCCATAGGACCTCTTATGTGTCCCATAGGACCTCTTATGTGTCCCA